ATTACTATCCTAAAGACATTCAGGCAACATTGCCCCGGGACGAGATGGAACTGAGAAAGGAATTGGAGGAGTAAAGAGGGCAGGGGGAATCTTATCCCACCCTCTATGATAGCCTTGGTGTAAAAAGGCATCGCGTCCTCGGTCCCGACATTACGATTGTGCTGGATAAGGTCAAAGTCCTCTATACCGACGTTACTAGGTATGCGATAATGGACTCTAAAACTCTCTATCTGCTGATCCCCCTTGACCTTATATTTTCCTAGCCTCGAGAGACCAACACTTTGGATCTCGGTGTCGAGGCGGGCCCTAGGCATCTCTACAAAGGGAATGAGGGTTTTTCCTCCTAAAGAGTCCTAAGGAGTTTTTTCCCAAACCACTGGGGAGTTTAATGGGACCAAGAAGACCACGGTCACTGAAAAAACCAGAAGGAAGAAGGAAAGTGAAGAAAAAGGAAGCAAGGACTCACCAAAAAGCTAAGGGAAGGGTTGTTTCGTTGTCGAAAGTTTGGTGGCAAGTAATGACGCAAGTGTTTCTGCTCTGGTGATGGCTGGAAGGGCGATGGTGCAAGCTGGTTCTCTGAGGAGTTTTCCGGTGAGAGCTCTTGTAAGTTTCTTCACATGAACTAAAGTATGGGAGAGAGGGGGGTTTAGTTTATATAGTAACTGTCCCCATCATTGTGCACGAAACACTAAGAGGCGCAGTTAATGCGCACAATCTCCAAAGCGACAAAAAACGACTGGGAGCAATGATGAGGTGGTTGGGGCACTTGTGTAACCTTTCGCCTTCTGATGACACGTCTCCTCTGCGCCAGAAGATCAAAGGGCTAGGGGCAGTTGATGGGACATTTATGAAAAAAGATAGATCGACGACACGTGTCCTCGATATCGTTATGTTTTTAGCCAGGAATGGCCAAGGGTTCTCAGCGACACTTATCCCCATCAGCCGAGGCCATAGTGCTCAGAGCCAAGGGATCCCCCCATTGGAATAGTCAATACACGTGTCCTCGGCTCGGCAAAAACCTTTGACCCGGAGATAAACAAATGTTCCTCGGTGCCGAGGTGTTCCTTCTGTAGGCTAAATTCAACCTTCCCTCTGCTTCTACGAAAGATAATGATTGACTGATGGCCAGCCTAGGGCAGGCTAGGCTAATCATCATGAAGACACTCTGCTCAATGGTGTCAGGAGGAGCAGGGATGCAGAACACGCAACTAAGGAGGAGTGGACGCGTGAAATTTGATATCAAATCAGTAACAAAAAGACATGGGTACCCCTACTGACACATAACTAGAGCAAGTATGCATTTAATGAATCCCCTTCCTGATGGGACAGCATTTAAGGCATGGGGGCCGAGAAGTGAAGGGCATTAAATGCTCCCATACCTGGGCATTTAATACTCCCTTGCCGAGGGAAGGGCATTGAATACTCTGCAGGCCAAGAGAAAAGCATCAATTGCTCGGCGTTCCGAGCAGTTAAGGCTGAATGTATTCCCCACTAAAGGAAAGGAGGAACATTGCCCCATCTCTAATGATTGTCTACTAGCTATATTATCAGCAATAATGAGCTTTTGAAGATATAAATAGTCCTCAAAAACATATTGCAAAGGTACGCAAGAACTCCTAAAAAGAACTACGGTGCTTTCTTCTTCCCCTCTCTCTCAGAGAACTGTCTTGATCGTCAGAGGGGATACGCCACAGAGCACTCCGGTACCCTTCTAACTTGATTTTTTGTGTCACAGGATTCCCCTACAGTCTTCCAAGACCGGTCAGGCGACCCAACAAACAATTCATCACCAGTCCTTAGGGCTCCTTTGTCCCTCTCAACCTACTTCTTGTTGCCAAAATCCACTTTCAGATGGGTCTAAACTCTGCCTGAGGCGACCAGAGATTCTGAAAGCAAACCTTTATTTCCGTCGGAATTACTATCTTGTCGAACCACAGTTTATCGTAGGAGATATATGTTCTTATTTCTACTGTTGTGCAAAAGTCAGCGCAAGTATAGAAGAAAAGAAGAATGACACAACTACTATGAAGTACTGATGTCTATACCTGTATTGCAGGATCACCACAATAATTACATTTGGCCTGATAGGAGTTTACAGATTGAGGCACCAGGAAGGCAACGAAGCAGCCAAAGAAATGCGGGGAATGGGACCTGAATTTGTTGGTTTTTATCGTGGCTTGGCCTGTTATTATTCTGGATTGTATTAGTTTTCGATTTGAACTTTAGTGGAGATGAGGATCAACGGTGGCTTAATCGCTCCACAATCCGTCATTGGATCGTTAAGTCATGGATTCAAACTTCTTCGCCAGTCCCCTTCCACGTAATAATTTCAAATAATGACAAAAAAAAATTAGTGGTGACGCTGACTGTTTATGTTCAATATTCTGACTGTTTATGTTCAGCTAAGGGCTCTGCCAATTCAACAAACTTTATGACCTGTTTGTTCAGATGCTAAGGAGTGGGGTGTCAACGAAACTCCGGCAAGACTGTTTTCGTGATTCTAATTCTTGATGCTTAGATTTCAATTAAATAATCTTATCATTATACTAAGGCATAACCCGTAGTTGTTATATAACTTTCAATTAACTTAATGAACTGTTGTTATTAAAATACCGAACATCATATTAAAAAATAAAAGTATAATTTAGGATATCACATTAAAAAATAAAAAAAAACAATTTAGGATATTATAAATATACACGATTTGATGCATTTTTACTCAATTTTGTTGCCTATTCAAAAAGAACTTGAGATCTTCTAACTATAAAATCATATCATTTAGGATTAGGGCAACAATTGTATCGTGTTCATATCATAATATTTTGGGTTTATGTCAATACTACTCTACTATAACTCAATGCGAATAATTATTCGTGTTAGAGATTCTAATACTAAACCGACTTGATTATTATCATACTGTACTCGGATTGACCCATGTAATCCATAAATCAAAATTCAATGAGGGCAAAGTAATGCTTTTTAGAGCTTGGGTCNGGGTCTAAACTCTGCCTGAGGCGACCAGAGATTCTGAAAGCAAACCTTTATTTCCGTCGGAATTACTATCTTGTCGAACCACAGTTTATCGTAGGAGATATATGTTCTTATTTCTACTGTTGTGCAAAAGTCAGCGCAAGTATAGAAGAAAAGAAGAATGACACAACTACTATGAAGTACTGATGTCTATACCTGTATTGCAGGATCACCACAATAATTACATTTGGCCTGATAGGAGTTTACAGATTGAGGCACCAGGAAGGCAACGAAGCAGCCAAAGAAATGCGGGGAATGGGACCTGAATTTGTTGGTTTTTATCGTGGCTTGGCCTGTTATTATTCTGGATTGTATTAGTTTTCGATTTGAACTTTAGTGGAGATGAGGATCAACGGTGGCTTAATCGCTCCACAATCCGTCATTGGATCGTTAAGTCATGGATTCAAACTTCTTCGCCAGTCCCCTTCCACGTAATAATTTCAAATAATGACAAAAAAAAATTAGTGGTGACGCTGACTGTTTATGTTCAATATTCTGACTGTTTATGTTCAGCTAAGGGCTCTGCCAATTCAACAAACTTTATGACCTGTTTGTTCAGATGCTAAGGAGTGGGGTGTCAACGAAACTCCGGCAAGACTGTTTTCGTGATTCTAATTCTTGATGCTTAGATTTCAATTAAATAATCTTATCATTATACTAAGGCATAACCCGTAGTTGTTATATAACTTTCAATTAACTTAATGAACTGTTGTTATTAAAATACCGAACATCATATTAAAAAATAAAAGTATAATTTAGGATATCACATTAAAAAATAAAAAAAAACAATTTAGGATATTATAAATATACACGATTTGATGCATTTTTACTCAATTTTGTTGCCTATTCAAAAAGAACTTGAGATCTTCTAACTATAAAATCATATCATTTAGGATTAGGGCAACAATTGTATCGTGTTCATATCATAATATTTTGGGTTTATGTCAATACTACTCTACTATAACTCAATGCGAATAATTATTCGTGTTAGAGATTCTAATACTAAACCGACTTGATTATTATCATACTGTACTCGGATTGACCCATGTAATCCATAAATCAAAATTCAATGAGGGCAAAGTAATGCTTTTTAGAGCTTGGGTCTAAACCCTCTGGCTCCGGTCGTGGTGCGTTTTTGGCTTCGATTTGCTGAATGCTCTTCTAATTATGCTGAGGGAATTATCTAGTTGTCATGATGTAGCATTCCTTAAAAAAATTTCTTGCATACCAAAGGTTAGATAACTTAATATTAATCCTAACAAGAGGGAAAATCAAGTTTCGGCACTTTACAAAATCCCATCTTTCAATGGATGAGGAAAAACACAAATTAGCCAGGAATGATGACAAATTTTTAGGGATCGATTTTCTCTACCATCTAGATTTTCGCGTAGGGGAGAACCAAGGGGATGGAAAAGATTTATGGTTGTATAGGGAGATTCTGTTCTTGACTAATTTTTTTTTATTTTTTTATTTTTTTATTTCTACTGGCCTATTGATTAGTCAAATCTCTCTTAATCTTTTGATATCTATCGATTGAAAAAGATTTGAACTATTTTTCTATACTCTTCCCATGAAAGTATCCTAACAATTTCAAGAGTCGAGATAAAAAATTAAGACCCGATTATCTTTTGACAAAAACTATAGTTCGTATTTTTTTTATGAATCAATTTTTATATTGTCTCTTATTATATTTGTTTGAAACTAACTCGATTCGTTCATTATTCTAATCGGTAAATCGGGTTATTTCTAAGTTTATATCAACAAATAATTGACTCTAACATATTAATTCCATATCGTATTATCCGGTTGTTGTGTCGCGTCAAATTAGTGTGGTGGTAAGCGTAATTTGACTCTTTTGAAGGGATTAAACGAAAATGTCCCGTTTTTGGTGGATTACAGTTCAATTTAAGACGACGAGGCGCGCTGTAATTTTCTCTCTTCTCCTTTTACGTTTTCCAATCTGTTTGAAGCTTAATTCGACTAGAATTTGTAAATCGCTTACAGGTTTCAGATGGCTTTGTTCGGATTCAATATGCCGAGTGAGGTAGTAAAACCCCACCTTCAATCTCTCTCTCTCTCTCTTCCCTTCTGGTTAGGGTTTTATTTCAAGTTTTTTGCATTTGTTTGATCTCAATTTCTGTAGTTAATACATTTTTTTTCTCCGAGAAGTAGATACGGTCATAAATATGTTGAGTCTTTATGAATTGGGGCTAGGTTTGATTATTCTCGCTGTCTTGTGTGATTAATTTTCTTTTCATGTGTTAATTGTTATAAATTTTATTTTTTGTGGTATTGAGTGATGAACATTGCCGGTGCGTATGACACCAGTTGTTTTTCCTTGCATAATTGAATTTAATACCATTAGTATTTTTTTTTACCGGGGGCAGGGGGGACTATGATAAACATCTGTTTGATTGTCAGGTGTTTAATAGGTAACAACATTTAGTTCCGGTTTTAAACATGAATTGTTGACTCATCAGTTTAGTTGGGATTTAATGTGTAATCATTTAGTTTAGAAGCCAGGTCGTGTGAAGTTGAATGGGAGCAATTTTTTTGGGAAATTTGCATATCTAATGTTGACTTTTTACCCATTGGTCAACTTTGTTGAAGAGTTGCAGCAAGAGGTTTAGGTTGATAGATAAGATCTTATCCACTCTTTCAAAGGCTAGGCTTTTTTAGAGGTGGTGCTTGTACTTGAGCTTATTGGTCTTCTTGGGTTCTATGATGTTGGATAAAGTATGTTCAAAATATGTATGTATTCTCTTGTGTTTGTTCATAAAAAAAAGAAAAAAAAGATGAACTAAAATCCCACATCGTTGGCGGCAAGAGGTTCAAGTTGATTGAAAAACTATCATCCACTTCTCCAAATGATAGACCCTTTTGGAGATGGTGCTTGTACTTGCGCTTATTGGGTTTCTTGGACTATTGCGTTGATTGATTAGCTCTTAAAAAAATGCATTAAGGAGATATATCTCTTTAGTTTAGCAATGTAGGTGGCATGCTAATTTTTCCCAAAACCTTCTTGTTAACTTGTCTGCTGCATAAGTTTATAGATAAACCAATGTTGCAAATACATAAAAGAAACAAAAAAAAAGGAATTTTATGGAATTACACTTTTTATGAGCATTTAAGTAGTAGCTTATTACGATAATTACCTTTGAATTATTTTAAGCATTTCTCATAATATGTACGATGTAGGCTTTTTGTGTTCCTATGGTATGCTTGACTTGAGCTTTAAAAGTTGCCCAATGCCTCAATCCATCAACTGGTCTGTTTTTGTTATAATTAGGCTATGAACTTGGGTGTGAAAATGTTGTACTCTAGTGAGGACAGTTATCAGGAGGATGGTACTAGGAAAAAACATGGTTACCTTGCAACAAGAAGAACTTCATACATTTTAAGGACCCATTCTGCTGCTTTATACTATTGTGGCTTTCCTATAGTTGTATTATGCCCATGGTGATATGATATCTATACCTGCCTGAAAAAAAAGGCGTCATTAAAGCCTATAATTTAATATTATATCCCAATGTGAGTATAATAGAAGTCATTAGTCTCACCTCTGTTTGTAATGATTCTTGCTCTGGGCAATCAGTATCTTGTTTATTTATAATGTACTAGGAAGATATGTTTAGTACTGATCAGCAGTTGCATCTAATGCAGGCTGGATTGCGCATACTTCTTTGTCCACTTGGTTCCAACATTGTTGTTCGAACAGCATGGTGAGCTTGGAATTGAGGTTTTATATTTCTTTTTCAATTGTAAAAGAGCAAATTATTTTTCAAAGGTTAAACAATTTTAATAGTGGTACTGGTATGGGAACCCTTTACTTTGAAAAGTTGTATCAATTAGGCTACTTCCGTCACCAGAAAAGAAGAGGATTAGCAATTTTATGCTTTAAAACCCTACTTTACCCCTTGTTATTTGCCGAAAGAAACTTAAATCTCTTCTCCCAAATAAACTCCACTCGCCCCTCAAAATCACCTAAATTTTATTTGAAACCAAAAAACAGAGTAACACTAACTTTTTGTATGCCCTGGTTATTTGAAGTATGGGCTTTGAGTAGCCTAGTTTACTAAAGAAAGGTAAAACTTGGTATTTGTTTCTAATGCGACATCAATATGTGGCGTGTGCAGCTGTTCTGTTGGGACTGTTCTACCTGTTTACTCTACTTTTAAAGCAATTGAATCGAAAAATCAAAATGAGCAGCAAAGGTGGCTTGTGTATTGGGCAGGTTTGCAATGCTGTTGGCACTTTTGCATAAATGTTATTATTCTTTGCTTCTTTTAGTGAAAGAGATGTTATTTTTAGCACTAAGATCTTAGTGGTGTATTCCTAATGCAACCTGAGAAATCAGCTTAATGGTATGAAAACTGGATACTTCATTTCAATATTTTTCTGTTCCAACAATTTGTAGATGCTGCAGTTAGCTCATGTAATTGCAACCAAAAAGCATCTCTTTTTCAGCATCTGTTGTTTTAGATCATAGAAACACTTACTCCCAGAAAGTTGATTTTATAATTGAAGGCCTTCAGAATTATGAGTTGACTTCTTTTGCGAACTAACTTAGAGGTGCCGGTACAGGAACATAGCTCCTGGCCACTATTAGATTTTTTTAGTCTGTTCCTAAGGCAATCTAAAAAATCAGTTCATTCTAAGAAACTTGACCCTTCAAAAGATAAATATTTTTCATTGCACTGCCCTGTACCCTGTTGTGCTTTTTGTTAATACTATTTCATTGCTTGCAGCTTATGGATCTTTTAGTATTGCAGAAGTATTCACCGATAAACTTATCTACTGGTACTGTTTTTGACACGAATTGCTATTTTTTCTGCAATTTTCCATTTGGGAGTTTTGGCTCTGTGTTAGTGAGACCCAGAAATCTTACAAAGCTATTTCTGTTTGATTTCTTCAGGGTTCCACTCTACTATCACATGAAGTTTGCATTCCTTGTTTGGCTTCAACTTCCATCTACCGACGTAAGCTTGAACAAATGCTTTCTTCCCTTTGCTTTCTTCTTCATGTTCTTAGCAGAGCTGAAACCAGGATTTTATCGTGAGAGGGGCGAAACAAAAACAATGGCGCGGTTAAGAATTTTATTAAATGAGGTCATTCGATAAGTAGCAATTAGTATTATATTTTTAATCATGAAAACCCTATTACTGTATGATATTATAACAAAAAATTAAGGTCATAAAATCCAAAAATTAGTTACTTACATTAGGAAATTTAATTTTTGACAATTTTATGGACCACTTATTCCCTCATTTATGACATGATGTAATAGTTTTAAATTATATACCATCATAAATACTAGTTCCACATAATGAATACCATTTTAAATATTAGTCGTGATTTAGTACATTATTGATGATATAAAGTCACGTTTATAACTCGATGTTGCCGCACCTTTCTTTTTTTTTTTTTTTTTCCCGCGGGTCATCTAATTTGCACAAACATGTATTTTATTCCGTAAGAACTCACTCATCCATGTGATCAATATCTCACATTAGGTTATTAAATGTTTAATATCATGCTATCAAGCTTTTTGTATGACCAAAAAAAAAGAAGCTTTCTGTATGCATTAATTAAATACCCTTTATACAAAAGTAGTGTTTGAAAACCTACAAGGATACATAGAATTCTTAAAATCCTGAAAGGGGGAATAGAGTAAATTTTGAAAATTTGAGAGGGAGCCATGGCCCCACTTGGTCTGCACGTAGTTCCGTTATTGCTTCTTAGGAACTTCTGTGAATCATTTCAACTTGCTTATTACTTTTGTACCACTTCATCTTACTCTGTGATGGATACACAAAAACGTGTGTTTTAGCTGGAAATTGTATGAGTCATCTGCGTGTTGAAATGCAAATTTGTAACAATGTTATAGAGCTTTGAATACTGATTGTTGTTGTACAGGGGGCAAGGCAATTGTATATGAGTCATCTGCGTCCTTTCTTCTTGAGGCATCAAGCTAGACTCGATCATATTGTGGGGTTTTTATATGGTGAAATGGTAAAGCCTTCAATCATCTAATGTTTTCATGGCAGGAAATGGACTTTTAGGGCAGGTCACTTGCCAACCTCACTATCTTCATTTGCTAGGCCCTTGGATACTATAAATTGCCATTTCAAAGCGTATTTTTGAGCTTAGTCTCTGTCAGTGTAATTATTATAGACATCTCAGGTGAATCTCTGAGTGATAAAAACCAAAAAGCCCTTGAACCAGAAAAGTTTTTTTGGGTACTATGTGGAGATTACTGCATATGCTTGATGGTTTCAGTGTCTTGAAACAAATTCAGAGTTACGTTATTCCATATGTATTTAGTCAACCTTGTGAATAGCTACCCCAAGCATCCTGATGGATTTCTGGACTTGCAGTCTAAATTCATTAGTGCACACGAAGCAGAGTTTGAGTGTGCAAGGACACTTCTGATGAAGATTCTAGTGGCAGGTATTGATGTGAACCCACTTGTGCCTTCATGCTAGATCAGAACACTGACCTGAACTGATAATTTTTCCTAGATTTTAGTTTAATCTGTATATATCTGCTTTAGATATTAAGTTTACATGCTCTTTGAATACCTAATTTAGATGGTTTAAGAATCGAATATATTCGTTCTTTGATTTGTAGGTTATCACATGTCCTATATACTAAGATAAGATTGGATAACTTGTATCTTTTTACCCCCTTTTCCCCTCGAATCAGCAAACCAGTTGGTTGGGGATATCATGCACCCAGGGAGAAGGCAAGCACATGGTGCGATTGAAGGCCCAACAAGGCAGGTAGAGACTTCAGACTCAGACTCAGATGGTGATGAATGATGCAATCTGTTCTTCCAACCAAGCATAGGTCTGTGATCCCTTTGTTTCTCAAGCTCCATTGTAGATTATATCCACAGGCTTGGCAGTTGCTCGTTCATCCTGACCATTTTTTTTTTACTAGTGGCAATTTTTACAATGCATAAAAAGAAGCTTTGTCTTGGGCTGTACTTGGGAACTAGGGTCATAGCACTTTCGGAAATTGATTTCGCATGGGCTTTGTATATAGGATTTGTTAGCTGCTAATGTGATTTACTGATCTATTAGAGGAGTTTCAATTGCCAACACACTGAGATGCATGAGGCTATTATTTGCTCCTCGGATTCCCTAGTCCGCGTCCGTAACGGGCATGCCTAGGATTTTTTATTAAATCGTCCGTTCGTCTTTGTTTCCTTGTGCACAATCGAATGAATACGTACTACGTCAAGGTGATCAGTTGTTTCTAGTGGTATTATTCTAATGAGCAGAATCAAGACAACCATCGACTGACCAAACTAAGTTCTGCTGGATATCAGTTGGGCTGTAGTGCACCAGTAGTGAGCAAGAAGAAGATGAGAGTGTAGGGTTGTTAATGTATTGGGTCGTGTCTAAGTCTATGTTTTGTCCAATTTTGTTCAACATATACCCGAACCTTGTATATTCGTGAATCGTCAAATAATTCGTATTTTCATGTTGCGCTTAGTCAATTTTATGTCTTTTTATTTTTTTTGATGTGTTTAATAGGTATATACCATGTTAACCCGCTAAAGATCTAATTTTGTGTTGGGTTCGCAGGTTGTCTGTAAAATTGTTTGGTCTGCCTGTGAAAGATGAATATTTTTTTATAACTTTGAAGAATCGAAGGGTGTTATCTATTGGAAATTGTTTTTATTTTTTTTCATATTAAATCTCTGAATAGGTGTAAGTGGGAAAAAAAAAACACTCATGAAAGAAAAAACGAATTTTTTAGTAGTATTTAACAAATTTACCCATATGCATCTTTGCTTGTGTACATAAACTTGCATATTACTGTACATGTGATATTAACATGAAGAAAAGAAATAAACCCGAATAAGAAAAAACAAAACAAAAAATTGAAATAAACACTAATTTAAAATGCATTTTACAACAATAAAACACCAAATTTTTTCTTAAAAAAAAGTGATTATATGGAAAGTGAGATCCCTTCTGATAGATTTTGCCCATTTGCAAAACCATCTTCACCGTTTGCATGGCACTAGGGTGTTAATTCGATTCTTGCATTGGTATTTTTGTGTCGTGTTATTATTACTATTTATTTTGAATATTTAATAATCGTGATAAATTTAAAATCGTGTCACGTTGAATTTGTATTACCATTCAAATTACATAAAATTTTCTTTTCCAATTCTTTTCCCACTCAACCATCTTTGGAAAGGCCAAAGAGGATATGTATTTAAGTCGGATCTGTTATACACAAATAGATTTTTTACTCATTAATAATGAATGATAGATTAAAAATAAAATTGTAAAAAAAATATATTTGAGAAAATTTGAATTCATTTCCGGGTACCCATATTTGTTTCGGACACAATAAGGTAGTGGTATTACTTACTACTTACTGTTCTGCGCACTACTCACATACAGTAGCTAATTCGCACAGTAAAATGACGTCGTTTTGGTCGGCCAAATTAAGTCGTCCTCTCTCTCTCTCTCTGAACTCTCTGAACTCACATGCGATAGGAAAGAAGAGACTGCTATATACAAATGTAGTTATATACACACACACATTTGTACGAAATTCGAATGCTTTCACTTACAATCTTCTGTTAAGCCAAAACCGGAGACTCTCTCTCCCTGTGTGTGAAAATTGAGAATCGAAGAAGGAGCCATGACTGGGCGAAGAGACGGTCCGTTGATGAGAAACACCACACAGTCCCTACGTGGATCGAGAATCGTCATTGCCATCGCGATTGGAGTCCTTCTCGGATGCGTCTTCGCATTCCTCTTCCCTCGCGGACTCTTCGCCTCCAATTCACCAATTCAATCCCACCCAATCGCCAAATCCAATATACAGGTTTCGAATCTTATGATTAGATATATATGGATTATTTTGGTAGATCCTTCTTTTTTTTTTTTGTAGGTTCTTTTTACCTCTCATGGTGATCTGTAGCAGTTGATCCGTTACTTGTTTAAGTCATTGCTGGTAAATAGAAATTGAGTCTTTGAATAGACATTATTTGGCTTGGCTTCGAATTGATATCTCATGCACGCGTTATTGAATACATCAATGAAAATTTTGATAATTTGCCATGGTATGGTATGCTTTTGTTGGTGTTTACATGGACTATTATGAGAATGAAATCAATTTGATGATTGCAAAGGTAACTGAGATTGGGAATCCATGATCTATGTTGTTGAAACGCTTTACTACATCTGATCGACCGCCCAATTGGCCTTCGACCTTTCCTAAACCCGTGAGATTGAGGCAAAAAGATCTCTTCGAAATCAAATTAAATAAATGAGAAAGCCCTTCCATTGCGTTAATGTCCGCCTAGTTGGGCTGGGCAGTTCACTATTTCTTTGTTGAAGGCGCTGTTCAGCCCTTGGTTTGAATTCAGATTGAATTGCCCTGATTCTGAAAGTAAAAAGTCCTTCACTTTTTCACCAATTCTAACCGACCTTTTTAATTACTAGGATATTTGAAGGAGAGTTTTGTATACTAAATATGGAGTGAATTGTAGCAGTGCAGGCACAATTAGGAGGTCCATAGACAACAGCAAAGCTACATTCTGTGACTTGACTTTGATTTCAAGTTATTCCATGTGCTTTCGTGTCACTAACAAGCCACCTTGTTGAACCATTGAGAGCTAGTGATGGGATTTACTGTTTTTTACATGCAGCGAGATCAAGTTTTTGGTGTTGGTTGGTTTGTGCTGCTCAATTGGTCAATGTAATGGTAGATGTGGCTATTTATACAGCTCTAGACTTAGGGTTCTGTTTAAATTCCAGTTGTAACTCTTGAGGTCTTTGGATGTAAATGTTCTTCATGAATATTTCTGTGTAGGTTGTTTCATCTCCATGTGAGTCATCTGAACATGTCAACATGTTGAAGTCAGAATTCATATCAGTGTCAGAGAAGAATGCGGAGTTGAAGAAGGAGATTAGGGAATTGACTGAAAAGCTTCAGTTGGCCGAACAACGTAAAGATGATGCACAGAAACCGGTCTTGGTGTTGGGTGAACCGCATAAAGCTGGGGTTTTTGGTACTGTTAAGGGTTCAAGAACCAGCCCCAGTGTTATAGCTGATGAGACTGTGAACCCAAGATTGGCCAAAATATTAGAGAAAGTTGCTGTTAAGCGGGAACTTATAGTTACACTTGCAAATTTGAACGTGAAGGAAATGGTGGAGGTCTGGTTCACTAATATCAAGAGAGTGGGTATACCCAATTATCTGGTGATTGCTTTGGATGAAGAAATCGCCAACTTCTGCCAAACAAATAATGTTCCAGTGTACAAGAGAGACCCGGAGGAAGGTATTGATTCAATTGCGAGATCAGGGGGAAACCATGCTGTTTCAGCACTGAAGTTTCGCATCTTGAGGGAGTTCTTGCAGCTTGGTTATAGTGTTCTTCTCTCAGATGTTGATATAGTATATTTGCAGAATCCTTTTGGCTATCTTTATCGTGATTCAGATGTGGAGTCCATGACTGATGGTCATGACAATACAACAGCTTACGGGTATGATGATGTTTTTGACGAACCTTCTATGGGTTGGGCTCGTTATGCTCATACAATGAGGATGTGGGTTTATAATTCTGGTTTCTTTTACATAAGACCAACAATCCCTTCAATTGAGCTTCTGGATCGTGTGGCTGGTAGGCTATCTAGGGAGCCAAATTCTTGGGACCAGGCAGTTTTCAATGAGGAGCTCTTTTTCCCTTCACATCCTGGGTATGATGGTCTTCATGCCTCCAGGAGAACTATGGATTTCTATCTCTTCATGAACAGCAAGGTGCTTTTCAAGACGGTTAGGAAAGACCCGAACCTGAGCAAGCTTAAACCGGTAATCATTCATGTAAATTACCACCCTGATAAGCTCCCAAGAATGGAAGCAATTGTGGAGTACTATGTTAATGGTAAGCAAGACGCGTTGAAATCCTTCCCCGATGGTTCAAATTGATAAATTCTTATCCTGCTCATTAGAAACACCCTCTGCTTATTCTGCTTGCTGGATTTCAAGATGCTTGTACTCGGTCGGTACTTGTGTAACACCACATTTAGGTCTATAATGGCAATATGGGTTGTTGTGCCTGATTTAAGAAGAATTTCGCTCCTCTTGCCATAGGAAGAACCTCATGTAACTGTATTCTTTTGTTTTGCCTGCCAATTTTCGGTTTCTGCATCATTGTTTTTAGGGTAAATGTCACTGACACCCTTGTATTTAGGTGATATTTCACTGACATCCCTTCTAGTATCTGAAATATCACTGCACACCCCTATAGTTTATATATATGTTTCACTAACTACCCCTACGGTCCTACCGTCTATGCCGTTACTAACAACCAAAAATGCATGTGATGTGTTTGCATATTCCCTTATGAATTACCAAGTTTACCCCCAGTATGTACATAAACCAAAATGAGATTAATACAATGTCATCTATTCTTTTTGGCAATCCCAACTTGTTCCAACTTCCAATTACAATAGTAGGCAATTAAGTTGGTCTTAATATGATAAAATTGAATATTAATTTAGTATTAGTTTAAAAAAATTAAAGGTTGATTCGATAAAATTTAATATTAATTTGATAAATGAATATCAATTTGTTGTTGATTTGATAAAATTAAATGTTTATTTGGTATTAAATTAAATAAATGACATTAATTTGATGAAATGAAATGTCAAATTCATGAAATTGAATGTTAATTTTACAAAATTGAAGGCTAGTTTGATTAGATTTTTTATTAATTTGATAAACTTGAATATTAATTTAGTATTAATTTGATAAAAATAAATATTGAATTGATGAAATTAATTTGGCACTAGTTTGATTAAATTGAATGTTAATTGGACGAATTAAATATTAATTTTGAAAAAATTTAATGTTAATTTGATGAAATTAAAGACTAATTTGGTACTAATGCGATGAAATATAATATTCATTTGGCGTTAATTTGATAAAAGTGAATATCAAGTGGATAAAATTGAATATTTATTTGATAAAATTTGAGTAATAATTTTATAAAATTAATAATTAATTTAATGTGGATTTAATGAAATTAAATATTATCTAATAAAAAAAATTAAATATTAATTTGATATAATTATTTTAAGAGTTAATTGCACTGGAGGTCCCCAAAGTATAAAATTTATCTCATTTTGGTCTATAATATTTCAATTGCATCATTTTGGTCCCTAAAATATTGAATATGTTTTTTTGTAGTCCTTCGAGCAGACAATATCCAAATTATTAATGATTTTTTTATCATAAATTTATCATGTGATACCTAAATATAGGTAAAAAATAATTTTGATTACTCTTGATCAAAAATACATAATGTTGGCAACTCTTGACTAAAATTTGAATAGTTCATGATTAAAATTGTGTATTTTGGATAACTTTAACCAAAATTTGAGTAAAAATTTGATCAAAAGTTATCCAAATTATTTTTTTGTCCATATTTAAGTATTACTTGACAAGTTTATAATAAAAAATCGTTAATAATTTAAACACTATCTACTTGAGAGACCACATAGAAATATATTCAATACTTTAAAGACTAAATGATACAATTAAATAGTGAGGACCAAAATAAGACAAACTTCATTCTTTAAGGACCTCCATTGTAATTAATCCTTATTTTAATAATAATAGTGTATGAAATGAACATATAAACTCCTTTGATAAAAGATAATTTGTGACCATAATTAGGTTAGAGCATAAAAAAAATTAAAAAATATAAGGGTAAATTTCAAACACCTGTAAAATGGTAGTTTTGGTAAGAGTATTTATGTAAATTCACATTCTCTAGAATCAGACAAGAATATAATAATATTTCAAATATCAAAAGAGGTGTCACTTTTTTAATGAATCAAACTGTTTTATGTTACTTTAACTCATTTGAAAATAATATTTGAACTGCTGGTTACGGCTGTGGCCAAACTAATTTTAATGTTAAGACGACTCGCGTGACCTCTTGCCATCAGGTTGGCCACTCTACCTTTTAGGTAAATAATTGATGATTGAACTAAATTAGGGGAATTATTTCCCTGAAGGACAGAGCAACGTGATGGCAATAGGTGAGGTCAGTCCTAACATTAAAATTAGTTCGGCCACAACTGGAATTAGTTTAGCTATTTCCAAACGAGCTCAAATAACAGAAAATAGTTTAATCCATAAAAAAAACGAGCTCAAATAACATAAAAGTCTTCAATACCACACCATAAACTTCTAGAATGTCACGTCATCCCTAAAAGAATATAGTCTCGAATAGCCAAATATTCACCTACAAACTAAAGGACCACCTCTATCATTGCTTAAGGACCACTCTACCCATAAGTATAAATAGGCAAACTCTTGCCTTGTAGCGTTAAATGAGCAATTACACATCAAGTTGTAATCCTCTTCGTCCTCTCAAAGTAATACAAATTTTAGGAGCAAGAGACTCTATTAGAGTAGACTAAACAAACTCTTTAGCTGGTGAACCACTTAACTCAATGTGTTCTTAATTTCTGTTGTCATTTTAAGCCGTACACCTCACACATTCCCTATTATGCATACCTACACCATCGGAGAGCTATTCGGCATCCTTGTCTCATTCTTTCCGATTTCTAACTCCATCAGTTTCAAATATATCAATGATAGAAGGGTGCAGAAAACGGGCTTCCAGCTTTGGTGAGTTCAAACTCGACTCGACTGAGTTTCTCGGACTCGGCTCAAACTTAGCTCATAGGCCATAGCTCATATGTCTGGTTCAATCCAGGTCAAACTCTAGCTTAAGCTGGAGTATATCCAAAAGGCACACATCCGAAGAAAATTGAATCTACAACCCCTTAATAAGAAATGAATTGCTTTATCCATCAAACTAAAGGTTCTATTTTGCTATTTAATCACCACAGTACAAGATTTATGTAGCTCAATACAAACAAATTGAGCTAAAACATATCAAGCCGAGCAGCACATTGCTCGGGTTTAAGTGGTCGGGCTTAAATATTACATTAGCTTCAAAATTTGGAGATACTTAATTTTTTAACAAAACATGACTATTTGAACGAGCTAAAATTGAGTCGAGTACTTTACCTCCATAGAGATATTCCCAGTGCAGTAGTAGTTGCTAGTTGCTATGCCAACCTCTGCAAATCCATATTTTCAATTTTCATTCACGTCCTCTGAGCGGTCACACCAAAGCTGGTTTCACCAGTCCAATGAAATGCACAAGCATATGAAATAAAATTGCACATGGAAGAATGTGATTCAAATATGCTGAATAGAATTCCTTGTGGTGGTAGGTACAAAGATTTTTGAAGAAAAAAGAAAAGAAAAGACTGACACCTATATAGAAACCTGACCTCATCTATAAAATTGTTGGTCTAATACATAAAGAGTGGAGCACCTACACCTTTTACACTTGATTGATTATATGAACACATAATGAGCCTAGTTTACCATGGTTAAAGCTAGACATTGTTGGACATTTTTTCACCTTGGGCTGAGGGGGGTGGGTTGGGGTCAGAGCAGGAGATGAAGAAATAAAAACAGCAGAAGGGTTAGAAGTACCGAACACAAACAAAATGTCAAACTGAATCAGTTTCAATCTCCCGATCAGAGTTTGATGTATCTGTATTATAATCTGGAAACGAGTCGGATTCACTTGGAGATTCTGATCTGTCACTGTTGCTTTTCACCATGTAAGGATTGATCAACCCGATGAGGATTTTGAGCTTCAAGGGTGGATATCATATCAGTCCCACATGTCAGCTTTAGCTCATCCTGTTGCATTAGCAAATCATTTTAGTGAGAGTTCAATTCAATGCCACACACAGACACACAACATAGACAACCACACAGAGGGCGGGAACAACTTTACAAAACAATCTTGTGCCTTTTCTCAAATTCATTGTGAGAGAATACGTTCCTGCCTAATCTATCGTCTTGGCATTTTTTCATGTACTTCAAAAAGTGCAGAAGTACAAGAATGTTGAATAGTTTTGGAAAGAAACTTATGACATAATCATTGATTTGTGGAGAAGCTTCAGTTAAATGTAAAATGCACGTTTTTTATAGTATTTAGTATTACATACTCTGTATGTTACAATGAATTAATTGAAATGAATTATGAGTGAGCATGTGCACACTTGCCATCATCTGGATATGAGCAGTTATCCCCTTTGAGAAATTCCAAAAGTGGTCATATTGTTGCCACACTGCATCAATGTGTCTCGATTTAAAGTGCATGAAGATCATTGGTTTGCAAAAAGAAATGAGCAGCAAAAAGAAAATGGCACTATCATAATAACAGTAGTACAAACAAAACAAATACTTGAAACGGGAATATAATGACTAACACAATCTTCTACTATTTGTTTGCTTCATATTTTTTACTCCTACATTTGTTTTTGTTTGGTTGGAAGAGGGGGTGTGAATGTTGACCCAAAACCAAACGAGCATAGTGCAGCTAGATGTAGTGTTATAATTGCATTAGCAAAGCCAAAAACAGACAACAGCAAAAGTGTTGGTTATAGACAGAGAACCGATAAGGACTTGTTTTCTCTCATAAGCTTCACACAAGACTTGGCATGCCACTTCAGGTTGTGGATGAGCATGGAAATTTCATTGTCTAACTCCTCCGCCAGCCCTTGTAAGCGATGATAATTTCCCTGGAAGTAGTAGAAAGAAAACATAAAAATGGGATGCAATTAAAAACTCCAATCAAGTCAAACAACATCTAATTTTGATCACATAAATCCCACCAATGTCATCAACAAATGCCTTAATATGCATCCATCCCACTAATGCATTTTAAAAGTGGTGTCGGAATGAAATCCCCAAATTACATTACAGGGTTAGAAAATCGTCACCCTTCCAGGAAAAGGACACCCCAAGTCTCCTGTTTTGCTAGAAAAGAGTATTTGCCAAGATAATAATAAGGTTATGCATCCTCAATTATTCTCTGTCACGGAGAAATTTGCATCCTCATATACATTGTTATACCTTGTTCTTGTTCTTTGGAGCATGTGATTCACACCCCCAGTGTATTGCAATCTTAACCCCATAAAAGATTTACTCCCATACATGCCAATAAAATATGTTCTATCACAATAGTTAATATATTCTGTAAGAATCACTTGTTCTAATCCACACAATTCGGCCTTTAGAACACTGGCTTAGACACTAGTTATTTTTTTCAAACTTTAGCCTAATTCCAAGGGAGACAAGCGTACACAACCGACACAACTGTAGGTAAGTGAAAACACTTTCTATGAAAATAGAAAATGGTCATTGTTCGAAAACAAAGTAAGGATAAGCAAATGGAAGGAGAGACCACCATTTCCTTTCCCTCTTTTACACTTCCCATCCCTGATACCCTGTGGTTCCTCTAACCCACGCCCACCCGATTCTTGGAAAAAATTAAAATAAGAAAAAACAAAATAACTTTTGGATGCTTAAGAGCATCTCCAATCATGACTCAAATTTTTACTCAAATTTAAATTAACATTTGAGTACAAAGCTTTATTTGATATAAAAGACTCCAATGGACAAACTCAAATTTAAAGAAGGATAAATGAAAACAAACCCAAATTTAAAAGGGAGTAAGGATAACTATTAGATCTTTAAAAGATGGTAAAATCTCACCATTAAAGATTTGAGTAAAAATTTGAGTCTCCCTTGATGTGATTAAAAAAATGAGTTTTCCTTGATTTGGTATAAGTTTGAGTCAAAGGTTGGAGCAAGTTTTTTTGACTTTTTTTACTCAAATTTAAATTTGAGTCTAAATTTGAGTAAGGGTTGGAGATGCTCTAATAGGTAATAATATGTTTTTCTTCTCATTCTTACCTTTTACCTACAAGTACCCAATATCCTAAATTCCTGATCAGCTCTATAGCTCAAACAAGCCGAGACTCTAGTATAAGGACATATCCATACGCATAGAAGCACATACATTTTGGTAAGCGATATAAATTCCTAACACAAAGAAGCACATACATTTTGGTAAGCGATATAAATTCCTAACACAAATAAGCACATACAATTCTATGAGCTTTATTGTCATTTCATCTGATGAACAACATCTTCACGAAACACAATCATTTCCAGAATTCCAAGCACTCCCACCACTTTCTTCGAAACTACCACAGACAAGTTTACATTTTCTGAATCTCCATTGCCTTTTCTCAATGAATCCCAATCCTTTCCTGGGGCTTCTGAAGTTCTCAATGGGAAACCCCATCAATATGACAAAAGACATTAGACATCTATATAAAGAAGGCTTAATGGGCTTGGATACATCATACAAGAAAGATGCCTATATTACCAAAAAAAAAACAATCAATTGATGTGCAGCTAAGCTGATTTATATGCAAGATGAAGCTTTCTTGTATGAAAACAGGCAGTCCCACCTTTGAGGTTTAGAAAACACATAAGGGAAGATCAACAGAAAATGGAATAGAACAGTCCAAAATGCAAGGTTATAAATGATGGTAAGAAATTACCACAATGGCATTTGGTTCAGCCAAAGGGTCCCCGTGATGATACAGAACGGGGAACTGAAGCGGGATCAGATATGTTTGCATCAGAGGACACTCAAAATCCATTTAAAAGGAAAGAGGTTTTTTCCCCTTGTCAGATTACAAAGCATGCAAATCCCTGTAAGATTATAAGATTATATAAGTCTACATAATTACCTAATTTTCCCAAACATAGGGATGGGAATGGTGAGAAACATCAGTTAAAAAGGGAAGTGAAGTACGCCGAGCACTATAGGACGTCTATTCAAAAGGGAATTATAAGCCACAAACTTATTTCCAAGATCAATGACAAACAAGTCACAACCAACATATAGTTTTCTTAAACATGCATTTGCATATAAGTTGGCCAACCAGGCTGTGAAGAAGCAGTTATGTTTTCCTGTAATNTAGGTAATAATATGTTTTTCTTCTCATTCTTACCTTTTACCTACAAGTACCCAATATCCTAAATTCCTGATCAGCTCTATAGCTCAAACAAGCCGAGACTCTAGTATAAGGACATATCCATACGCATAGAAGCACATACATTTTGGTAAGCGATATAAATTCCTAACACAAAGAAGCACATACATTTTGGTAAGCGATATAAATTCCTAACACAAATAAGCACATACAATTCTATGAGCTTTATTGTCATTTCATCTGATGAACAACATCTTCACGAAACACAATCATTTCCAGAATTCCAAGCACTCCCACCACTTTCTTCGAAACTACCACAGACAAGTTTACATTTTCTGAATCTCCATTGCCTTTTCTCAATGAATCCCAATCCTTTCCTGGGGCTTCTGAAGTTCTCAATGGGAAACCCCATCAATATGACAAAAGACATTAGACATCTATATAAAGAAGGCTTAATGGGCTTGGATACATCATACAAGAAAGATGCCTATATTACCAAAAAAAAAACAATCAATTGATGTGCAGCTAAGCTGATTTATATGCAAGATGAAGCTTTCTTGTATGAAAACAGGCAGTCCCACCTTTGAGGTTTAGAAAACACATAAGGGAAGATCAACAGAAAATGGAATAGAACAGTCCAAAATGCAAGGTTATAAATGATGGTAAGAAATTACCACAATGGCATTTGGTTCAGCCAAAGGGTCCCCGTGATGATACAGAACGGGGAACTGAAGCGGGATCAGATATGTTTGCATCAGAGGACACTCAAAATCCATTTAAAAGGAAAGAGGTTTTTTCCCCTTGTCAGATTACAAAGCATGCAAATCCCTGTAAGATTATAAGATTATATAAGTCTACATAATTACCTAATTTTCCCAAACATAGGGATGGGAATGGTGAGAAACATCAGTTAAAAAGGGAAGTGAAGTACGCCGAGCACTATAGGACGTCTATTCAAAAGGGAATTATAAGCCACAAACTTATTTCCAAGATCAATGACAAACAAGTCACAACCAACATATAGTTTTCTTAAACATGCATTTGCATATAAGTTGGCCAACCAGGCTGTGAAGAAGCAGTTATGTTTTCCTGTAATTTGAAGGATCAACAAAAATGATAACAAATTGTGTCTTTATTTGGGGGGGGGGAGAGAACCTGAGTCGAAACTGCTGGTGTGGTAAAATTGAATGATACATTGGATTTCCCCATCAGCATTTCTTTGGAAGGCTTAGTAGTTAGAAGAATATTCAGTCTTGATTCAGTTCAATAAACACATACTCGGTGGCACACCTTAATTTCAATGTTTATCAAGAGACTTTTTGTACACTTAAAATTTCAGAAACCCGTCTGAAATGATGAAACCAATTAATTATAAGACACAGTTGAATGCTCAAAACAAGTGTCATAGGAGAGTACGTCAGCAGCAGTCACCATCAATTTGGAGGCGATGCACAATCGAATTTAAACAACTTTTTTCGTATCTTTTTCCTTGGTCGAATAATCTATGAAATTGAAGGAATGACTAAGATTATCATTACAGATGATGGCCATTAAAATCTATGTTGTATCTGATGCTTTGTAAAGACTTAAAGAAGGTTGAAACATTTGACATTGTTAAGCAATTTCAACAACTGGTTGATATATCTAGAATCAATCTTATCATAGAAAACATGAACAACTTGTGACTTGCTACAATGATAAAGCATTTGTGGGAGTTTTAACATCCAAAATGCACACGAATCTTCCCAATAAAGAACGTAATCTTAGTCAAATTTATAAGTCTAAAGTGCCATTTTTTCTTCGGTAATTTCCTTTGTCAAACCTGCAACACATACTCTCCAGCTTATATATGCCTGATTGGAGGAGGCTAGTCAGGAGCTCTGTGCAACTTTCTCAAAATAAAGAAGAGCAGCTAAATAATTCTCGCAATAATGCAGGCACTGTCACATATTCAACAGATCTAAGTATGAGATGGGCATGCCAAATTCTAATTGATTCACTTTTGGCCACCATGTGAAGGTGATTACCATGTAGATTTTAAAATTGATGGGAGTAGTTCATTCCAGATTTATGGGAGTAGTTCATCATCAGGCAAAGTGAATTAGAAAAAATCACTTCCCAATCGTGCATCGACACACCAACACACTATGCACTGATAGTGGCAGAAACAGTTGAAAGCTCCAACGAAATCAACCAAATTTTTACAGTTATAAATTTGTAAACACAAGAAGCATAGAAATCACAGATACCCTCCACACCTAAACATTGACATGAAACAGATTTCCGGGTATAGAAACCCTAAGAGCAACTTCACGAAATTCACTCTACGAAAACAAAATAAGCAAAACCAAAATTTGAAACAAGTTTCTTACAATCTCCAGCTTGTATCAAAAAGCGAACATACTTAATTCTTCATCACACCCAATTGGACATTTGAATTTCCACAATATTCAACTTCTTCATCTATTACATATCACCACGTGTGAACTTTCTAAAGGAAGAAGACACAAGTCTCTACTTGCCTTGATCCAAAACAATTATTTTCCCTTTAAAACATTCTCCTCCTCTAAACTTCTAATTAAATTTCACCCCCTTTTCAAAATACTTATCCAGTGTTAGCTTCATTGTGTTGGATGCAAGAGAGAGAAAAGTTTCACTCAAATATTTGGAAGAGAATTAGAGAGCAGAAGACGATAAAAACTTTTCAATCCCCACTCATTCCAAATTGGCTATATTACATAGGATACATTCCAAATGGAACCCAATAACTCATTAATCCCTCACTTTCTCCATTAAACTTACAACCACATAAGTAATATTTTCTTCAACGAAATGCATATTGACAGCCACTAACATTATTAAACGCATGACTCAAATGCAAAAAGCATAAGTCCAAAAAATTATTGAGCTTATTTCTCACGGAATTTAGTCGTGGGCTTGATGATCTAACGAAACCAAAACTCTCCCAATCCGAAACATACAGCCGAAGATCAATAAAATCACAAATCCAACTTTGCTTACAGAAAAATTGACAATTACAAAAAATCCAATATTAACATATTTGTACAGAACTTCTAACAAACAAACAAAAAAAATTAACTGTGAACAATTTTACACTACTATAGTTTCCAAAAAAGCACACGGGGTGGTATATAAAACAACTAAGAAGAAAAGTTCAAAAAAGAGTAATTCTTTTTTTAAAACTAATCATCGAGTAAGGTAGCCCAGTTCATGTCGAACACACAAATCAATTGACAGATTTAATAACGGATATCAAAAATTAAGCGCGTTACACAATAAAGTTAACAAGTAACATAAATCAAGCAAACCCAAATATAAACAAATCTCCAAAACACACACACACAAAAAAAACCAATCCTACCTCCAATAACACCTCAAAACGTCGACGCCTAACACATAACATTATGCATAACTTTCAGTACAAAACAATCCTCACGTATATATCTGAGATTGTGTTGTTTATGAATGTGACGAGAGATAAAGAGAGAACCTGTACTCAATCCTAACGCATATGTTTGCCGTAGAACGAGCGGTTTCAGACGCGAAAAGAGGTTTCCGGTGATCTACACACACATAAAGAGTAGAGAGAAGAGAGAGACACTGTGGGCCTGTTACAATCTAAATACAGTATCTAATTAGGATTTGGAAAACAAATTTAGAAAGTTACTTTAACTTTATGTCAACGGCTGAGATCACTTTTGTCTAATATCTACGGTTAGAAATTTATGTACTGAACCGCCGTGCCTTCTCTTGCTCTCCCTTTCTCTTTCGGTTTCTACATACTGGATTCGGTGGGCCAGATGCTATCTAGGGCCATGTAAATTATACGGAGAATTACATTCAACCTCATATAATTTATAGATATACTAGTCATAACCCGTGCCTGAAGACACGATAAAATATAAAATTCGAGCGTTCAAAAAATCGTTCCCACTATACTAAATTTTTTCAAAATATATTAATTACAAATTAATTAAATATTAAATAATTAAATATATAATAGAAATGAATGGTATGATATATTTAGAGATGAAATATATAAATGATTAAATATATGATAGAAATGAGAGATATGATTTGACGTTTAAGTCTAACAAAGGAATAATGGTTGGGTGAGATAAGTGATTGGTGATGGTTTTGAGGAAAAAAATATAACTGGGATAAAATTCAAACACACTCCTGTTTTATTATATATATAATAGTTAGACACCTCAAACTTAAAATATTACACTTAAATCCCTTATTAATTACAGAATTAATGAAATATATTAAACGACCAAATTATACCAATTAAAATATATAAGATAGTTTATCTATTGCGATTTGACCTCTTGTTTGATTTTTAGTTTTATTCTAATTGATAGTATAATTGTATATTAATTATAATTTTTTAAAGAAAAATTAAATTTTAAATTTTGATTTTATTTCAATAAATGAAATAATAGAACATGAATTTTAGTTAAAATATTTAATATTCTATCTTTGATTGAAGTATTTTTTATTTAAGTAAAATATTTAAAACTTGAAAGATTTAAATATCACACGCTTAAAAATTTTAGAAAATTTGAGTATAATTTACTAATAGATAGACTAATGAACATTGACGGCTGAGGTCTAAGTGTTACGTGCATTCAAACTTTATGAGGTTTGTATGTAATATTTTAAATTTCAGATAATCTAAGTGATTAAGTGATAAATTTTTAAAAAATTTGGTATAATTCACCCTAAATTGTAATAAACATTGTGGCGAGGCAAGAGAGTTTTCCAAGTGTACCAGAGCGGGTAGAAAATATTCCAAATAAACGTAATATTATGTTATGATATCACTAATTAATGATAATATATATCATATTTGTATAGTAGTTCTCATTATTTTAATAATTACTATGTTAAATAAATAACACCTTGGAATAGGGTTTGGGATCTCTCCAATCTTCAATTCTTTTCTTATCTAATTATTTACCATGTATTCAAGTAGAACTCATTGTATATGAATAAGTTATTCACTCATTAATAATCGATAATTTGCCACTAAATAAATAAATAAGTGTTATGGGGATCTAGGTCTTTGGAATAGAGATATCACCGTTATAGTAAAGATTGTCATTGTCAATTAGACTAGTCATTAATTTAAGTTTCTCTTAGGCGATTCAAACCCATAATGAACAATCATACATTGACATAATTTGTTAATTTAATCATTTATAATTATTAGATTAGTTGTGGGTCCTATCAATTTNATGGTATGATATATTTAGAGATGAAATATATAAATGATTAAATATATGATAGAAATGAGAGATATGATTTGACGTTTAAGTCTAACAAAGGAATAATGGTTGGGTGAGATAAGTGATTGGTGATGGTTTTGAGGAAAAAAATATAACTGGGATAAAATTCAAACACACTCCTGTTTTATTATATATATAATAGTTAGACACCTCAAACTTAAAATATTACACTTAAATCCCTTATTAATTACAGAATTAATGAAATATATTAAACGACCAAATTATACCAATTAAAATATATAAGATAGTTTATCTATTGCGATTTGACCTCTTGTTTGATTTTTAGTTTTATTCTAATTGATAGTATAATTGTATATTAATTATAATTTTTTAAAGAAAAATTAAATTTTAAATTTTGATTTTATTTCAATAAATGAAATAATAGAACATGAATTTTAGTTAAAATATTTAATATTCTATCTTTGATTGAAGTATTTTTTATTTAAGTAAAATATTTAAAACTTGAAAGATTTAAATATCACACGCTTAAAAATTTTAGAAAATTTGAGTATAATTTACTAATAGATAGACTAATGAACATTGACGGCTGAGGTCTAAGTGTTACGTGCATTCAAACTTTATGAGGTTTGTATGTAATATTTTAAATTTCAGATAATCTAAGTGATTAAGTGATAAATTTTTAAAAAATTTGGTATAATTCACCCTAAATTGTAATAAACATTGTGGCGAGGCAAGAGAGTTTTCCAAGTGTACCAGAGCGGGTAGAAAATATTCCAAATAAACGTAATATTATGTTATGATATCACTAATTAATGATAATATATATCATATTTGTATAGTAGTTCTCATTATTTTAATAATTACTATGTTAAATAAATAACACCTTGGAATAGGGTTTGGGATCTCTCCAATCTTCAATTCTTTTCTTATCTAATTATTTACCATGTATTCAAGTAGAACTCATTGTATATGAATAAGTTATTCACTCATTAATAATCGATAATTTGCCACTAAATAAATAAATAAGTGTTATGGGGATCTAGGTCTTTGGAATAGAGATATCACCGTTATAGTAAAGATTGTCATTGTCAATTAGACTAGTCATTAATTTAAGTTTCTCTTAGGCGATTCAAACCCATAATGAACAATCATACATTGACATAATTTGTTAATTTAATCATTTATAATTATTAGATTAGTTGTGGGTCCTATCAATTTTAATAGTTATGAGTGATTAAATTAATAAATTGTGTTCAAATAATATTATTAAACCCATAATATAGCATGGAGAGAGAGTAAGTCATTTGCAGATAAATGGTAATTATTCAAACTAGTTATGTGATGGTAATTATTAAAATTTGTATGTAAAATAAGGGTACAAAATTTTCATTTTATACTATTAAAAATTAATTTTTTTACATTGTATCCTAATATATTAAAAGTATTGTAATATGGTCTTTTCGTTACTTATTTCGTCTACGTCAATAGAATGATTTTTTATGAAATAAACAACAAAAGCTAACAAAGAAGTCATATTATAACAAGTTTAATATATTAAGGGTACAATATATAAAATCAAGTACAAAGTAAGAATTTTTAATTTTTTTAGGATACAAAGTAAGCACAGATTGGCTTGTTACCATTCAGTAAAAGATAATGTAATTGTGGTCATGGTCACCTTGATCAACTTCACTATGAGAGACAAAAAGCAAGGGAAACAGATCTGATTCCCAATGCACTTGATATACTTCCCATGATCTACAACATCGATTGACAGAATATGACTTTGGCATCGAAGTATACAGACCTTGCATCATCTGCAGAAAGCAAACTCAAGTCAGTCAATACTTTCATCCTCGCTGAAAATTTACTCCAACGCCTAACACAAAGAATTGAGTAGGATCGCTTAAATGTCCCTTCAAGGTGATATTTTTCTGTTGCCTTCCACAAGCATGCGATATGAATGTTTTTTATTTTCCTTGGCATTTGGAACACGTTAGCCACATGATCTCAAGGATAATACACAGGAATTCAAAAGATATCATAGGATGGAATGTTTTACGGTTTTATGATTTCAAACATTTTTGAGTAACGACTCCAAGCCTCTTGCATGGAGTCCATGATGTCCATCTCAATTCCACAGTACTCCAAAGTGAAAAATTGTTCAAATCACTGTAAATCCTATGGAAAACAGAGCACATTGAACTCAATACCTAGGACAAGCAAATATCCCTAACCCCTTACCAACCACGACCCAAAAAAATAATAAGCAATTTAAAAGAAATTGTCTAGCAAATTGCATCACTATTGTTGGATATATTCATGTCACCACAGATAGCAAATTAAGGTACAAACTATACCTGCAATTTTGGTCAAACAAAATTCTGCAGGCACATTGGCATCCACCTCAACAGTAGCTTTGGCAGCTGCAATACCAACTGCAACACTTTGTATGACATCTAAACCTGCACAAACAGAAGCTAGTGTCCCACCAACCAAGCAATCTCCTGCCCCTGTAAGCCTTACGACTGATGCAGGAAGTGCAGGGAAATGGACAGCAAAAAATGTAGAGCTTCTGTCAGACTTTGTAGCACCAAAGAACCGATTTGGGGGACAGCATGAGTTTACAGCTTCATATAACTGTCTATGGTAACCATAAGGGTTTTTTCTCTGGAAATTGGATCTATTAAATTCGGGCTCTCCTTTGGAACATAAAAACACTCCATCTGATCCAAGAGTCACAATAACTACTCTTATACCTTTCTCCAGCAAAACCCAGATCGCTGGTTTAAGCATTTGAAACAGGGAATCCTTTGAAGCTTTAACACTTCTATTATCTATTTGATTTGGACAAAAGACGTCTCTGCCAGATAGAGCATTGGCCATGGCAATAAGTTCATCTTCATTGGGAGAGACAAAAGTTATCTGTATAATCGTTGGATCAGTGCCAGAGATGTTTACAAGTACAAATATACAAAATGATGCATACCAAAACCTTATTTTAAATTTTCAAAACATTTTAGAAACAAATGTTTCCCTATTTGAGTTTTATGCAAAATTAGATTCCATAGCTGGACAATTCCACATATAGCAGAGGATGCACAATGAAAAGAGCTTAAAGGCTGTTACATGAAAAGGTGTATGTATCTATACTCCCAAAAATATCACAGGTATACTCTTCAATTTAGAGTGAATCTAAATGAAATAACTTAATACTCACATACTTGGCAACTGAAGCAACTCTTTTGGATTTTGCAACTGATACAGGCTCAAACCAAACGGGAATATCATCTTCTGCTGCCACTAAGAGAAAGATATACTTAGTCCTTTGTATATATTGGAATTGTCCAAAGAAATATTTATTTATTTAAACAAATAATCCTCCAACAAATTATGTTGAGTCTATCATAAAAGTGTATATCGATGAAAGATTAACATGATGTGTCTGGTGTGCAACCAGCATGAAACGTGAAGACAAACAAGAAAAGGCATTAAACTTCACAAAAGCAAGTACCCATCCACACGCATATTCATGCGCATGCTGTATAAGAAGATAAATAATCAACACAATATATCTGATGACTGCAAATTTTGAAACAACATAAGAACTTCAACATTAGCCTTCGAAAGTAAGTGAAGATTGGTCTTTAAATCGATATACAAACACAAAGGCAAACAATTGGCAAAAAGGTCATGAACCTGTAGTTCCAAAAAGTTATAGTTGGGAACTTGCTGTGCATTAATGCATATAATAGCTCATAAACTTAATGTGGGAATTGGGATGCACAATTTAAGTAGATAGAACAATATGCACACAACACACGTTCACATAAAAAGAAAGAGGGAGGTGTATAGCATCAAGTTAAAAAGAGATATCAACTTTGACAGGAGGATTCCAGAGCAGCAGGACTTAAGTTTGCGTCAACCATCAACACTGGAGCAGAAGAGATATTGCACTTAGATTGTTGAATCCACTCAGGACTGAGAAATTTTTCCTGCTTGAGTGAGAAACTAATGAGTTGGCAATATTATGTACTCCCACAATGCAACAACTTAGCTTATTCAACAAAAAAAAAACAACTTACAATTGCTTCTACGCTAGCAACAGCAGCTGCCAATTCTCCTTGAACATCAAAGATACTGCACACAACAGCAGTCTCAATATCTTGGCGCCTTTGAATGCCTAATCCAATTCACAATGGTAAGAAACTATTGGACTGGTCTGTTTTTCTAATAATAGTAATTATGTCCTAGATACATGAAAAACATACGACTGGTTTGTCAGAATGTTTCCGTTTGATAAAGCAAAAGCATCAACAAAGAAAGATGAAACTGCAAGCCACTGCTGCTGTAAGATTCCAAGTCTTATTTTCTTTTCCCATAAACTGTATGGCCCACCGCAATGGAATTCATGAATGAGTAAATTATTGGCGAATACTGAGATGGGTTGCAAAATATACTAATAATTTCTGAATTAATACAAGTCACTTTAGCATGACATGTTTTGGTGTGTTCCTAACCAGCACTTTGATTCATATATTACATCATCCTACTTTTACGTTTTTTTTTCCCGAGATCACCCACATCAACAAATCCACACACAAAAAGCCTGTTGGGATTATGTAAGCCAGAAGACATACAGAGCTTTTTTCTTACCATTACCTTTCCAACTTAAACTTCATATTCCTGATTGATTACCTTGCTCAAGATCAAAGACGAATTCTAGAATAGCCATTTTACAGTGTGGCCAGGCGAATTTTGCATGCAAATGTTTCCGGAGTAAATCACAAGGAGTCAAGTTATTGGACAATTATAGTTTTGAGTCTTTTGACATGTCTTGGTTGATAAACAATGTAAAACAAAGGCATCAAACAAATGAGGAACTTATCCTGACTATGCAAAGTAACAGGCCTGTCCAACGTTTCCCAGCAATGCAGCACAGTAAACTTTTTATTACTACATATGGTGTCTCATTAGGACACTCAAAATTCAGTACTATGCATTCGACTGCATGGCCAAGCCAGTGCTCAGAAGGTTGTCTTTAAACTTGAAGAATTCAAAATCAGCACTCATTGCAGATGAAAAAGTATTGCTAACAATTCAAAAATGTACCTTCTATAGATAATCCAGCAGATTTCCAGTGCTCCAAAAGCAAACTTCCTATTGAACAGGGAAAGCATTAGTCACAACCAGAGGAAAAAATCCTTTTTTAAGTGATTCACTCTAATACAGACAAAAATTGCATTTTTCTCCGAATATCAAAGAACTACACAAAACCAGGATAAGAACCTTGTCAAAAGGTCATATATAATGTTGTAAACCCTCCAGGATATGGTTCTAGTCTTTAAAACTCTTACAAAACCCAGAAAATTGGATTAAAATTATTCTATGATTTGCACGTAAGAATCAACGAATATGGCTTAAGAAGTATATACCCAACAAAGTGCTTGTATGACAGTTTGTGCTGGTTTTTTTATTTTGGGACCCGCCCGTGCCAAGGGGAGGGGGGCTTGTTGGGTTCCATGCATGTGTGAGTTTTGACACAATTTGATAAATGCCCACACTAAGTTGCTATCAACTATTATATTGACTGATAGGTGTGTATCATGGTATTGATGGATACTTGACACTTATCCAGGCTGAGAACTTGTTGTCATGCTTTTTGTATCTTCCCTTGCTTTAACTCCTAACTCTGCACCGGGAATGCTTTTTTTTTTTCTCATGAATCCAATGCATTGTCATACATTCTGACAAAACCAGGAGAAGTGTATATGTAACAAGAAGCAACATGCATCCTATAAAACAATTCACCTGCCATGTCAAGTCCCACAGCACTTATCATGTAAGGCTTCACTCCAAGCTTCGACATGCACTCACCAACATTCCTTGCCACACCTCCTAATGTATAGAGGACCTGAATAGAGGAGTTCCTCATTATAGGGAGGTAAATAAGATCTGGCAGAAAAAGTAGCAGTAGGGCTGATGAAAAATGGATATTTCTGCACCACTTTGGTGCAACACCTCATGTGGACAATTAGATTAGTGGGTCCCATTGAGTTTATTAAAGATCCAATGACGGTAAGTGTGCAAGATCATGCAGTAAAGGTGACTAGGTGAGGCAGTTCATAAAGGTGGTGAGTACATCATTAGTCTTCCTTCTATTGTCTTCCTGTTCATGTTCCTATCAACAAGAATGGATGGAGTAAAAAACAAAACCTTGAAACCAACTAATCGCACAAGGGACTAGAAATATTGATATTGCGAAAACGTAGTAGAAATTTTGAGAAATCATCAAAATCCTTCTTTTGGTAAATTTTAGATGTTCCCGACTTCAAAGAAAAATACAAATCTAAAACATGATGAATGGTGATTACCATGCGACTAATAAGCAAGTTCCTTCAAGGTTACACATTTTTACACATGGATGATAGAACATCAAGAATGACTATCTTAGCACCTACTTAATGCAAAATATCCAATTGTTATGGTCTATGAGGCTAATTTGCAACAATTTAGTTATCAAAATAACTAGCTGATGCTAATTCTTATATTCCACTTGTTATATAAGTATCTGCAGAATTGATTTGGAATACACAGAATCACATCAAAAACTGCAATTAGGAATAACACAGCAAACCATCACACAAATCATATGTCCTAACAAAATTCACATTTCTATACACCATCAAGATAAAGTTCCCAGCATTACCATACCTTGCCAGGAGTAGTGGTCCTGGGATTACAACGCATTGAAGGAGTGGCATGTATGTCCAACACCATACCCCCTATGATTATTGGCTCTGTCTCACTATCTTTGAATTGCCTACCTTCTACCCAGCTCTTAAAAAACAGAAACAACAACACATATATATCAATCACCCAAAAAAAAAAAAAAAAGTCAAAGGATATTGGAGTTTTTTAATGAAGTAAAAATTTATATTCAAAAAGAAACAAATACAAAGAATGCAATCACAAAAAATTCTGAGTATTGGAGTATTCTGATGAATCAACAGTTTGCATTAAAAAAAGGATTAAATTGAATAAAAAATTTCATGAGATCTTACCTGGTGAGAGAAGGGATGAGGTTCCCGTGGCAAAGATTGGAGAGGAGAGAGAGAGAGAGAGAGTATATTTGTTTCTGGACATTCCCCTCCATATTTGGAACACTGGCTCTGAAGTCTCTCTCTCGGTGCGAAGTAGAAGTAGCCAAGCAGGCAATGGGATCCGTTCGTAATGGGCTAAAACATGGGCCTTTTGTCTATAAACCATTTCAACTATTGATTTTACATAGATCATTTTTTTTTGGGTTTAACAATCAGGGGTGTTCGGGTTAGTTTACGTGCACTTCGACTACTTATTTTTTCGGTCTAATCAAAGACAAGTCAGTCATACTAGGACTAAAATATTTATGAGGGATTAATCCCTCTTGGTCTAACTTTAAGAATTGGCAAGATATCAAGATTGTATTAGGGTAATATTGAAGTGACATGGTCTGCTGCCTATCCTTTGATCCAATTGCTTCATCATTTTTCAGGAAAAAAAAAGAGAATTTAATTGCACGAGCATCTCCAATAACACCCTATTTTAAAAAACATATTCGATAACAAAATAAATAGAGTAAAACTAGACTTTTTTTTTTTATAGAAACGATCGAGAATTTTCATTAATCATATGATTCATATAATTTTTCAGAGTATATCATTCTAGATGAAAGGTATTAAAAAAAAGGGATAATCCTCTCTAAACCAAACCAAATTAAACCAAGATTTATGTTCCAATCATTTGGGGTCGGCTATATGAGTCTATCTTTTCATTCATTTCAATCATACGCTATACGCTCATTTATATGTTCATATCTTTTCTTATTATTTTGTTAAATGCTTATTTAAATCTACCCCTATTTCTAATGTCATTAAGATAAATTCTATCATTTTTTTAAACCGGTGCCACTATCAGCCTCTGTTGACCATGATCAAACCATCTTAATCTATTATCTCTTAACTTATCCTCAATTGGAGTTACTCTTACTATTTCTCTAATACGGTCATTTTGTATTCTATCATTTATAGTTTTTTCACACATCTACCTTAATATTCCCATGTCCGCCACCCCCAGTTTGTCACTATGTTATTTCCTAGTTATACAAGAATTCATATTTTATACAATTTTTTGCAAACTTAGCTAAACAATTGACCATCGTATTTCCATCTCTACAGATCCATGAAATTGAATAATCCACAAACCCATCAACATAACTGTTAACATTAGATATTTCAATTTCCCAAAAGAATGGCTCCCGTTCAACTTCACACGACCTGGCTTCTAAACGCTAAATGAGTACACATTAAATCCCAACTAGAATAATGACGATGATTCATGTTTCAAAACCATAACCAAGTGTTTTTCGGAAAGCACCGAAACTAAGTGTTGTTACCTGACAATCAAACAGATGTTCATCATAGCGCCCCCCCCCCCCCCCCCCCCCCCCCCCCAACAAAAAAAAAAAAAAAAATATAACACCCCCCCCCCCCCCCCCCCCCCCCCCCCCCCCCCCCCCCCCCCCCCCCCCCCCCCCCCCCCCCCCCCCCCCCCCCCCCCCCCCCCCCCCCCCCCCCCCCCCCCCCCCCCCCCCCCCCCCCCCCCCCCCCCCCCCCCCCCCCCCCCCCCCCCCCCCCCCCCCCCCCCCCCCCCCCCCCCCCCCCCCCCCCCCCCCCCCCCCCCCCCCCCCCCCCCCCCCCCCCCCCCCCCCCCCCCCCCCCCCCCCCCCCCCCCCCCCCCCCCCCCCCCCCCCCCCCCCCCCCCCCCCCCCCCCCCCCCCCCCCCCCCCCCCCCCCCCCCCCCCCCCCCCCCCCCCCCCCCCCCCCCCCCCCCCCCCCCCCCCCCCCCCCCCCCCCCCCCCCCCCCCCCCCCCCCCCCCCCCCCCCCCCCCCCCCCCCCCCCCCCCCCCCCCCCCCCCCCCCCCCCCCCCCCCCCCCCCCCCCCCCCCCCCCCCCCCCCCCCCCCCCCCCCCCCCCCCCCCCCCCCCCCCCCCCCCCCCCCCCCCCCCCCCCCCCCCCCCCCCCCCCCCCCCCCCCCCCCCCCCCCNATTGCACCCCCCCCCCCCCCCCCCAGATACTAATGATAGTAAATTCAATTATGCAAGGAAAAACAACTAGTGTCATACACACTGGCATGTTCATCATTCAATACCACGAAAAAACATGTATAACAACTAACACATGAAAAGAAAATTAATTACACAAGACAGTGAGAACAATAAAACTAGCCCTAATTCATAAAAACTCAACACATTAACGGCCACATCTACTTCTCGAGAAAAAAAATGTGTTAACTTCAGAAATTGGGATCAAACAAATGCAAAAACTTGAAGTAAACCCCTAATCAAAAGAGAAGATAAAGAGAAATTGAAAAGCTTATGAGAGAGAAAAGAGAGATTGAAGGTAGGGTTTTGCTACCTCGCTCGGCATATTGGATCCGAACATAGCCATCTGAAACAGGAAAGACCAACCTGTAAGTGATAAATTCTAGTCGAATGAAGAAGATTCAAATAGATTAGGAAACGTGGTGAAGAGAGAATTACAAAATTACAGCCAGTTGTTGTTTTATTAAACGGTAATCCACGAAAAACGGAAGAGAAAATTACAATTTACCCCTTACTATTATCTTTGTTTCATTTTATATCTTCAATTATAAAATTTCTTATATTATACTTTAAAGTATATTATTCTAATAGACAATGATAAATTTAAAAATCTGTCAAAAGAGAGCGGAAAAACCCCTAAAGAGCTTTTTCTGCATAGTGCCCAGTAGTACCACTTTATTTTACCTTACTTACGACCAAATAGTTGCCAAAAAGAAAAAAACAAAATCAATCAGAAAAAAAAAATTTGAAACTTAAGAATGACAAAAATATTGATGAATATTTTTCTTAATTTTTGATTGTAATAGATAGTGTTGCTTATTAGCAGTACAAACCATTCACATGCACATTTATTGTTAAAAAATTAACATTTATTACTTTTACTAGAGTGATATGAAATAAAATTAATATTTTATGATATAATGTGAAAAATTTTATAGTTGATGATTGAAAGTATATTCATTTAATCCCTCCAAAATAAGTTAAATTATGCTTGCCGCCACCCTAATGCAACATTTTTCAATCACACTAATTGAGCAATTTTTGACACAAGAATGGCAGTAGGTCGGAGCGGTGGACTGGGGCTGGGGAGGGGGAATAGTTTCCGCCCCATACCCGCTTAAAAAAAAAAGTTGGTTTATTTCTAGTCTACCTCCGTTGATGGATGGGATTAATTTTAATCACTATCCTTGTCCGACGGATAAAATCCCCACCGACCCCTGCCTCCACCTCCATCTCCACGTCCACGCTGACCCCAACCACAACAATTATTTTTTGTAATTTTAAGGAAAAAATTTGACAAAAAATCATAACAACCTTACTTACATCATTGATTGGCAGAGATCAATTGACATTGTTCAAGACAGCCTTTATATATCAAACATCTTGCCCCAAATTTCTCCAAACTGTTCAAGAAGTAAACCCATTTCCAATCACACCTGGGCCCCAAATTTCTCTAAACTCAACCTCGCCAATGCCAACACACTTTTCCCTTCTAACAGATCATCAGATTTAGAAACAAAATTCAATCAGAAGAAATAAAGCAGTAAACCAAGTATACTGTTCTCAATCAGAAGAAATCACGAGTCACATACCAAAACCTATGGATTATTCCGCTGATTTACTACCTATAGCTAGTACTGTTAAACTTCAAGGAAATAAGTATTTCTATCTGTTGGTTTCAGAAAAGTGAGAAAGCCACTTATCCCATAAAACCAAAAAAAAACTAAACTTGGGGTGTTTTATATGCTTCTCACGATCAGATACAGAGAGTAGGAGGGTAGAAGGTAGGAGAAGAAAGAGAGAGAGAGAGAAGACATAGAAGACAGAGAGTAGGCTTTACGTGGTCAGCGAGAGAGAGAAGGCAGTGGCGTCTTCTTGGCGGAGGGTCGCTAGTCGCCGACGGTAGAAGCAGAAGAAAGAGAGAAAGACGCCTGAAGTAGGGCTGAGTATGTATATTCAGCATATATGTATAAATATAAAAAATTAACGGATTTAGCGGATATCAAGGATTTACTTTTTTTTTTTTTTTTATAGGTGGGGGTGCGCCAGGCCTGGGCAGCAGTGCAACGCCATGGCGACGCTCGAGGAGCCCCAGCAGCAACCTACTGTAATGGACCCCTCCCCCTCAAAAAATTAATTTAATATCATATGACCCATTGGATCACGTATCAGCTATTAAATTGATAATAACAGATACTACAGCTGGTCTTAGCCAAAAGACCGATCCGCTTTCATATTTCACGGATTTATTTGAGTATTTATGTGTTATTATTTATCTTTGGCAATATTATTAGGAGTGGATCGTTCATCGAACTTGCTAGGAAATTAGGTCAATGGTTCACTGGTTCAACCGGTGGTTCATTTGTCGGATCGGCCATATAATAAATAAAATAAAATATATATATAATAATTATAAAATATAATAATTTAGCTAAAAAATACATACAATTTGTCATAAAATTAAGTAAAAAAAACACGTGTGCAAATATCAAAATTGAACTTTAAGGCTCCAATCCAAATACATGACAAGAAAATCATTCCAAGTCCAAACCAGACCTGGTTCTATCAGCAAACCAGACCTATCTTACAGAAGGATTTGGCACAAAAGGAGTTTGGGACACCAAATGAATCTGGTTCTATCAGCAAACCAGACCTATCTTACACAAACCTTGTGATTTCACATGGTCAAACACAAACCTGGTTATATCAGCAAATTGAAAACTTATTACCAATCAAATCACGGCAAAACTAGTTCGTGAGTTCATTGGGTTTGTCTGATCGCAGTTGAGACCCTGATGTCGCTGGAGCGGAGTGGTGGTGGTGCTATGCCTCTTGTTCAGTGTTTTGTGATTTAGGGCAAAAAAAAAAGTCTCAAATCTTGTACAAAATATAATTTAATTTATTTATGTTTAAAATGGGTATTAAATTGTCCGACTTTCTAAAAACCGCCGATTCCCCATTTTTTATGAAAATCGGCCAGTTTATAGTTGGTTCTTTACCTTAAGTGGTCCAATTAAGGAACCGGACTGGTCAAGGTCCTTGTTCGAGGTTGAAGCGGTCTGGTTCAGTTCTGATAACACTGATCTTTGATTCAAATAGGATGAGTTTAGACGAATCCCTATTTACGTCCAATCGCCTTTAATCCCTGGTAATATAATACAAAATTAGAGGGTTGGAGTTAATTATTTTTTGATATAAATCTAAAAATGAGGTGATTTACCAACACAAATAGTGAACAATTCGAGTTAATGTTACTAAAAAGTTTGACATAAAACAAACATATTTAAAAGTGATCTGGTATGAATAAAATAACAAATATATATTATTTTTAATTATGTATTGACATGAATTTTAAAGTTTCGTTTGGTAGAAAGGATGAAAAATAAGAGTAATACACTTTTTATCATTCAATAAAGAAAATTAGGAATAATATATTTTCCTTCTTTTGTATTTGGTTGGATGGATGAAAAATAAAAAATGACTAATTTTTTTTTTTTTTTTGGCTGACTAAGATTAGAGGTGATAATCGAATCATGTCGTGTAAGATTTATGTTAAGTCATTACGGGTTTGTATCGAACATTAGTCATACCAAACTCAATTCATTTAACTAATTGTGTTATGTTGAGTTACCAGTTGACCTGTTTATTTTCGTGTTCGAATTAATCAAATTCGTGTTATAAAATTTGTGTCAAGTTCAAGTCGTGTCATTGTGTTGAGTCAAAAATTTTCACCCATAACTAAGATGGAAAAAATATTTTTTTAATTTTTAATTTTTTAATTTTAAAATTTTTTTTTAAAATTTTTTTAAATATATGTATAAATATATATTTTATTATTGTATTTTTAAATGAAATTAATATATACATAATATATGTATATATAAAAAAATGTATAGACAAATAAGATATATTTCAACACAAATAATTAACTTTTCATTTATTTTTCTTTCGATTTTAGAGGGATTGATTTGGGTGAGTTGGAAGGAAAGCTAATCCATCCACTTTTCTATCTTCCTATTTTTCTTCTTTACCAAATATGAGGTTTTATTTATCCCTCTAACTTTCTGTCCTTCTATTTTTCTATGATAAAAAATTAAAATGATGGAAAGTTGGAGGGATAAATAAAATATCATGTTTTGTAAGAAAAGAACATAAGAAAGATAAAAAAGTTGATGAATTAACTTTTCTCTCAACTTACCAAAATTAATTCGACCAAAATAAAAAAAAAAGTGGATAAATAATTGGATTGGGGAGGCAATGTGGGACTGTTACAATTTAAATACATTATCCAATTCTGATTTGGAAAGCAAAT